TGTATTTCCTGAGGCCTGCAGGTGTTTTGCAAACTTTTAGACAGATAGAACTCATAGTTGACCCATTTTGCTTGTGTGGTTGAGGATCAATTGCCACATGTTTCTGCGAGTGGACAACAAGGCCTACTTAACTGTGTGCTACAAAGCCACAGTAACTGGTAAAAGGCTATCATTGAGAGGAGCAGTATGCTGCCATCTTGCTTTAATATTTGCACACAGTTGATCCTGATGTTCCAGTAAGCCTTTGTCTGTATAGATAAGAAACCGGACTAGTGCCAGCTTTCTCAATCTAACACTTTTTCCCAGGAAGAAAAGCTGATGCAGCATCACTTCAGATTGTCTTTGAGTTAGTCTTTGAAATGCAAGAGTGGCCTTCCAATATATATGGGCTGAAATCCTTCTTTTAAACATGTTTTATTGAATATAATGGGCAGACAAGTTTTTAAGGTTTTTTTAATTTCTTTTATTCAATTTTTCTAGTGCCTTTAAAATTTTTCTTTTATGAGGACAAAAAGTTGTTAACCATTAAAAAGAAACTAAATTCCAGCATTTAGCAACTAAAAACTAAAAATGTGCACCCAAACTTGAAAGACCCTAAATCTGAGGCTTATGTTGACAAAATTTTCACACTGGTGCAAAATATTAAAGAAAGTGAAAGCCTAAAATCCTCATTTTGAAGTAAATTCTCTATGAAAATTCTTAGATGAACTTAGTAAACAAAATTCAATTCCTCAATGTTTACGTAGACTTCCGCAATAATGTAGTTCACCTCTTTCTATATATATATAAACACTAACCAAAATTCCTGTCCTTATTAATTAAAGAAACAAATGGCCACAATGATATAAGATAAAAGTTAAAGAAAATATTCTAAATCAAGAACACCTAATCTCCTTCCTGGAAAAATAATTGTGTATAAAACAAATATAAGTTAATTCCTTCAACTGCATTATTGATAGTCAAATAAAATTGTTTGTATGAAAATTCCAGACAAGATGAATTTTCTATCCAACATCATAAAACCATATATTCACCTATAGATCTAACTAAATACCTAAAACTCACCATAAAATTAAAAACTTCTAATTTTAAAATGATGAAATATACCATACTTATGAAATCTAAACTCTTAGACCACCAACATTGTTCAAGTTCTATCCTTTGTAGGACTATGAACCTGTAAATAGATAAACTAAAATAAATACATTGATCACATGATAAGATCTTTTAAGTAGGCATCTAACCAAGTACTTAAGCAATCTTAGTTTGATAATAAATACTTAAACACTCGCATCCAACTCCCTGTATACATAAGAAAATACCTTGTAGATAATATTGACATATTAAAAATATATTAAAATTATTTTGTTGCATACCCCTCTGCCAAAAAAAAAATCACATTTGAAGATATTAAAAGCACTATTAATGAAGACCAATAGACTGATACTTAACATCATTTGCTTTGAAAAGAGTCATGACATCTTGGCTGTGTTTTCAATATTAAACAGAATTTCCAATATGAACAAAATTATTACTGCTCTCATGCAACATGGTTTAGCAAACAAAATCAAAATCGTCTAACAATGAAAATTCCACCCTCCTTAAGAAAATGGCTGAAGTATTAGGTTAGCTGAAAAATCTTGGGATAATAATCACTATAGACAGTTTGTACACACTCTTATTTCTCTTAAAAGAAAAATTGTAAGGACACAAGAAAAATTTTATAAAAACTGGTACTTTTAAAAGCTAATTATTACAATTTGAATCTTGTAAAAAGTTAAGTACTTTGAACTAATGAAAATGTAAAACATAATTTAAAATATTCCAAAATATACAAAAATATCAAAAAGTTATTACTTACATTTGAACTAATATCCTCATCTTTGTTATTAGATTTGTCCCACAGGTCAATAGTCTAGAGCAAACCTGCACAATGAAATATGTGAAGAGCCACATTGTTAGCAGGAAATTATCTGTGAATCACAAGAGTAATGGTGCAAATGCACTAATAAATCCCAAAAGAGGCATATCTTAAGAACAAAGATTGTGCATTGTTTTTTAGTAATGGATAAGTGTTTTGCCCATTTCTTTTCTTTATTTTTGAATAAGAAAGGTTTAGATTTAGCTTTTGATACCTTATCAAACGCTTCCTTAACTTTAGTCCCTGGTTTTATATTTTTTATCTAACATTTAATATTTTGAAAAGGTTTATTATAACTCTACAAATAACAGAGCTGCATTGGAAAAGATGACTGTTTTCAGTTTGTATTCCCCTGATGACTAACATTGAGAAAATCTGACTTCATATTTCAATCTCAACTGATAGATTTTCTTCAAATGGAGGAGAGGGTAATCCTGGCTCTCTGAATTGTACGCTACTCTCTGATTTCCATCACTTATGTGGGTATTTCAAAAGGAATTTCTTCACATCGCTATAGTGTTGCAAAACTGAATTTGATTCAAATATAGTCTTGATGAAACAAATGAATTTGATTTTCAGTGTGGGATAGAAACATATGTATATTGAGAGGCAGGCAGATAAGATTCTCTCTCTTTTCCTCTAAAGTAACAGTGAAATATTCTTTGAATAAAATCATGCTTCCACGAAACTGGTCAGTTGATCATGGGCAATACTAAATAGTTTTACAGGCCAGTTACAGAAAATTAATGTGTGAGTTCATGAATTTGGTGGTATAGTAATTATAAGTTCAATCCTTGGACTTGAGACTTGGTGGAAACAGGATTAGCAATAACTGAGCAGTACAAAAAAATGAAAAAACAAGTTCAGTTTAAAATTCCTTGAAGTTTACCCTGATTAGCAGATGGGCCACAACTGTTGAAATATTGTGATAAGAAAAATGATGACTTTAGTCTGAATGTAAATAAACTAAAGGATTTAGTCATTCTTATGTCTGAAATTAGTACCATGTACAATTATCTTGTTATTACAGTAGTTTTAAGTTGTTGAATTTTGAGATTTCATTATTTGACTAGTTTCACATTTTAATTTTACTCTTAATCACAGTATTTCAAGTTATCAGATCTTTAAAATAATGGATCATATATACTGAATATTTTTTTGTCTTTATTTTATCTTTTACTTCAAACATTATTTTTAGTGGATACCCGTATTTGAGTATAACATCCTGTTTTTTTTAAACAGTGTTGATTTCATCCACTTGCCTACATATTAAAAAAAAAACTTTAACAAAATGTCCCCTTTGGCAGGATTCGAACCTGTGTTCTCCTCTGCAGGAGGAAACAATGTCTCATCAGCATGCTGTAGACCACTCAGCTACCAAGTGCCTCACAGAACCTTGATCGGATGTGAGGCACTCTGTAGCGAAGTGATCTAAAGCATGCAGGATCAAACAGTTTCTTCCTATTTTCGTTAAGTTTTCTCGAACATGCAAGCAAGTAGACTAAATAAACACTGTTTAAAAAAATGATTTGTTCTACTCAAATACAAATATGCACAAAATATAATGTTTGAAATTTTAAAAATGCTGGTTTAAAAATAAAAATCCATTAACTCTTTAGATATGAATTTTATCTTTTTTAATGATCACAGGGTAGGTTGCACTAGGGATAGTTTTGTACAATACCATAAGGTTCTACAAAACTAAAGTAATTTAACTTGAAATTCAATTCATATCCTTAAATAGCATTGTTAGATCTAAACTCTCACATGGACATCATTCATAGTGGCATACAATTTCTTCAGAAATGTCCAAATTATCAGCTTTATACAAACGTTTTCTTGAATCAATGATTGAAAATAATTTTGAGTGAATTAATCTTTTATGTCTTAAAGAAGGCAAACCCTTCATCAGATCTTATAGACTATCACTACAGAAACACAGAACTTTACTAAATAACAAAAATCACATCACTTGAATTCCAACAGTAGCAACAACTAAAATGCATAGTACATTTAATTAGAAGCGGGGATAATGTTATAATCAAGATGTTAATTTTACACATTACTTTGAAAAAAAGATTAGGAAGGAAATGTCCTTCAATACTAGAATGATGACAGTGGACTTGAGGAGTCTATTTTCCTTAAAAAACTGTTTTAAAGGAAAGATTTTATAAATTCCAACGTGTGGTAATGATAACTGTTCAGTCAATGAAGGTTAAATGTTTCTTGTATGGAAACGGTGAATCTCAGATGTAGAATATGCAAATTTACTGTGACACTTAAATTCCTTTCTTAAATTGTAGATAAATTAAAAATAATAGGATATGTGGAAAAAAAATAGTGCCTTTGTGTCAGAAAAAAGCTTTGTATTTGCCTTTGATATTTTTGAGTGCTGTCCAAGCTAAGTTGTAAATCAGGATTTGAAATATTGATTTTCAAGTTGTGCATACTCTTAGAAGATTAATATAACATGAAGTTTCTCTCCTCATTCTCTCAATACTTCCATTTGTCCTTGTGCTGAATTATGCTAAGTGTAATTACCATATGTGGAAGAATGCAAATAATTTTCATTTGTCATCTTTCACTATTGAATATGTTTTTTTCCTTACTTATATTGAAGTTGTTTGTTGATTGGTTGAATTATTTTGAAAGATGTGTGAAATGTTTGGCAAAACAAGTGGTCAGGGAGCAGATTATCTGGCCATTTGAGTCTTATGGCCATATCATCTTGAAATACTGGTTCTCATATGATCCCTAAAGTTAAGCAATGTCAAGTCTGGCCATTAAGATGGGTGACTTCATGTGAAGACCAGGTACTGTAAGGTTGGATGTGCAGATGGTGTAATAGGTAACTGCTTGGAATTGCTAATCAGAGAGCCGAGTTCCAATTCCAGTTGAGTTTGTTAAATTCACATGTGCAAATAACTTTGGAAAAGGTATGAATCTACCTCTCGGTTATGGGTTAATTAGTATGACTTGTATAAGCTGTAAAAAACAAATCAATCTGAAAATTTCTGTTGTATATTTTGTAAGAAATAAAACTAATCTTTTTATATTTGACACTGTTTTTCTTTTTCAGGTTGCAAAGTATTTGAAGGACTTGCTGAACACGTGTGAATTAGATTTGAAATTGGGAAATGTCCTCACAGCTTATTCAAATGGAAGTGCAAAAGAATACATTTCAAAAACCTTGGTAAAACTTTCTCAGTCCTTTCTGTTTTTGACTTTTTTTGCTATCTTGGCTAAGTTGAACTTGTAATTGCTGGAAAATGATTTCTTTTTGATAGTCTGGGGGGTCGGGAGAGGAATTCTTCATTATAAGACAGAATCCTCCCCCACTACATACAGTTTCTTTTTGATATATCATCTAACATAGACAATGCAATGAGAATTTACATTCATGAAACATATTTAGGATTTAAGGCAACCTCTGAAATGTTGTGACTAAAACAACTAAAATGGGATACTGGTCCAATTATTTTAATTTATAATAAAATATTGTCCACCAGTTTTTATTTATGGGATCCAATTCTGGATCTTATTTTTTTGTATTTTTCTTTCTGTCGCTATATTTTTTTTCTCTTAATTTTTATAATGAAATATCAAAAAGAAACTTGACAAAAATAAATTTGTTTTCATTATGAGTTTGTATTCTCAAAATTATAGCAACAATTAAGTTTCAATATTTTTTTTAAGTATGATGAAATTACAAAATTACTATTTGCAAGCAAACATTTCTCTTAGGTAAAAATAATTTAAAATCTAATAGCATTTTATTTATCTACTTTAAAGTATCAGAAGATTCTGTTTCTATTGTTACCAGAAAAGTCCATTATATAAAGATTTATGTAGTAGACTATTGTAGTGGCATATAAAAGTATGTGCATGCACACACACACACGCACACAATGGAGAGTGATGATGAAAATCAACTAAATCATTTGCTATGAATAAAGATTTCAATATTTTCTTCACTTATATGATAGTGATTTGGGCAATGTTTAACCATTGTGTTTGACAAAAAATCTGTGTCAAAAGGACAATTATTTGCTTGACACTGTTATTGCACCATTTTTTGACTCCTTTGGCAATGTTTATAGTTTAAAAAGGGATGATTATAAATAAAACCCAAACACATGAAATGAATTTATACATTTTCTTTATTCTTGAGTAAGTGTAATAAATAGTGTTTAATATCATTGTTAAAAAAGCTATTTATTAGATTACTTATTTACAAGAATAATTTTATATTTACAACATTATAAAAATATGTGGACCAACTATAATGACATATTTGTTATTTAACATTTTGCAAGCAAATAAATATGAAAAATTATTTCATTCATTAATTTATAAAAATCCCTATGAACAAGAAAATTTAAATAAACTCATAAGTAACTGTAATTATAAATTTTAAAAAAACGAATTTTCTGGGTTTTCCATTCATTTGCTCTCACCATGTAAATTCACTAAAATAAGTTGAGAGCATCTCTTCTTTTTAATCAAACATTCTTTTAATTTTAGATTTTAGGCAACATGACAAATACTCAATATTTTGAGTGTGTATCTCCATACTCAGTGGATGGATAAAGTTTTCCTTGTGCTTAATTATAGAATGTCTGTAATTTTTACCACAAATATTTTTATATTCTTGTAAATAAACATTGTCAAGGGAGTAAAAATAAATGGTGTAACAGTGATGTCAATAAAATAACTGTCCTTACGATGTATCATTTTTTTTTTTTTTTTTTTTTTTCTGTGAGCACAAAGTTAAACATTGCCATGATTTTTTAAAAGTTTGAATGTATTTGCTAAAATACTGTTAACATGGAAATTATTTTAAATTTATTAAGATTAAAATAAAAATTTAAATAGTCCATATTAAAATATATCCTTTTTTTTTTTTTTTTTTTTTTTTTTTTTTTTGCAGTGTTTTAAAAATAAAAAAATTTTGTAATTTTGAATTGACTAATTTATAATTTTAGTAATTCCAATTCTAAATTGTAAGAAAAATTAGCTTAAAATTTTTAGTGTTTAAAAAAAAAAAAAAAAAAAATTTTTGTTGTTGCATATAAATATCAAATTTTTGTTTTGTTAGGGTGTTGATGTTGCCTGTACTCCAACAGGAGTGAAACATTTGCACCATAAGGCCACAGAATATGATATTGGCATTTATTTTGAAGCTAATGGACATGGAACTGTAAGTAAAGAAAAAGCTTAAATTATTTTCATTCTGGTCAGATGACATTTTAACAATATCTTTGAATCTTTAATACAAAGTGTTTTTTCTTATTAGCCAATATCCTCTTGGTGTCAATTTAAATAGACACCTTCTTTTTTTTCCGTATGTGCAATTAATAAATATTAAACACTTCAAATACCTTGGCATGTGGATCAGTTAAAATAAATTTAATATAAGAGAAAAGGAAATTGCTAGAGTTAGTTTTATCCAACACTACAAAATGCTACAAAATCAAAACATTGATCTAAAAACTTGACTTTCACATGAATGTCATGTATGATGTCTATCCCATTCAGAAATATCTAAACTATCCGCTGTATTCAACTGCTTTCTAAGATCAATTTGGTGAAAAAAGGCTTTGTATTGATGAACATTGTGGACTGGTGATATAGATTCACAAGCAAAGAACTGTACCAAATAACAGAAAATCACATCACTTGAAGACTATCAATAACAGCAACAACTAAAATGGATAGCACATGTAACTCAAAAAGAAAATGAGATTATCAAGATATTGATGTTCCACACTACTTCAAATAAAATGTTAGGAATAAATTAAAAATTGTTTCAAGAGATTTTATAAATTTCAACCGAAAGTCGTATTGGCTGTTCAGTCAATAAATGCTAAATGTTTCATTGTAGGGAAATGATTAACTTTGCCATGGTAACCATTTTGCTTAAAATTCTTATTTTCTTGGATTAGGGTGAAAACCTGGAAATTTTCCAACATATTTCATTGAAACTTTCACTTTACAAAATTATTGTTTATAATTATAGATATTATTATTATAGATTCTAAATATATGGTAAAAACGGTGTCAGTTTATATTAAATCCCAGAGAATATGGATTAATTGTTCAATAATTAATATCCATGTTCTATGGAAAAAAAATGCAATAGCTTTGATGCTCAATAAATTATGAATATATATATACACATACACACACACTAGCTTAAAAACCACCGTATTGGGTGGCATCATTTAAGCTAGCTCCTGTGGAGGGGTCTTGATTAGGCTTTCATCACAATAGGTTAGGAAGAGTAGATTTGATAGGTAACAAGAAAAACTCAAAATTGATTGTTGCATTTAAGTGTTGAATTAATATCTAAGCTTAGCTTTTAAAAGTTCAACGATAATTCTTCTGCCACAATTTAAAGATGATTTGATGTATGTAGGTCCTTACTTTCTGTACAAACAATTATTTTTATTTCATGAGTGACTTTTGCTGGATTTCGCAATTAATTTTGATTATTCCCAAATTTATTTCCAAATTATAAAAAATTGTTACTGTTCAAAAGAATTTGTAAAAAATCTTGTGGAAAAATTGCCAAAAACAATCGCAGTAATAAAAACTTGGGTATCCAAAATTTCAAGATTGTGAGTTCGGATCCAGCCTGGAATGTTTTTAATTTGCTCATGGAGATGGCCTGATTCCAAAATGGTCTAATATGTTGGGCTACAAGCCCTAGGCCTAAAGTTGGAAAAGTGTAGTGGCAAATTGCTATTCACATTTATTATATAGATTAAAAAAACAAAACTTTTTGCATGATAATACTGTTTAAATAAAATTACCCTTGAATTAATCCAACCAAGGGAAACCATTCTGATCGTCTGGCTGTAAACTTTTTATTGTTTTTTTTTTTTTTTTTTTTATATACTGTTAATAAATTTCATAGAAAATATAACATTTTCACTGAGGCTCTTGTAAAAGGCATCCCCTCAGAACTGAGTAAAATAGTAGGGCACACTGAGTTTTTCAGCCTTGGGAGTGCAACCAGTGTAGGATAAGAACAACAATTCAAACTCACTGTTAACATATGGGTCAGTGTGGAAGGATAAGGCCCATTACTCTCCATATCTGACAGATCTTGAGTAGATGAGTGTGGGTAGGTTCAGTTCTGTAATAAACTTAAAAAATAAGCTATATCTTCAAAGTGCAGCTTTATTTTATTCATTTTATTAATTTAAGGTTTCTTGGTAATATAAATATTTAATGCTACTAGTTTCTAAAGTTCTGCCAGTTGAGTAATTAAAATCTTTTCATCCTCTGTCTTGTAGTCAGCAAAGTGAATTTTTAATATGAAGACATTTGTTCTTTAAAAAAAAAAAAGTAAAAAAAAAAAGTAAAATTATTTCCCTTGAACCACAGTTTGGTTGTTTAGTTGAATAATTACTCTGCCTTTATGAATTTTTGAAAATAAAAATATCATTACCAGCTTACTAACATTATTGACTAATAAGCTTATATACCAAACTCAGTTCTCAGCCCAACCCAAATTCAAATCTGGCTAAATGATCAAACTTTTTTTTTTTTTTTTTAATTGGTATCACTCCATGCAAGGCAGTAAAGCCACTAAGACACAAAGGGTTAGAGAGTGTGGAAGAATTAGGAACAGATACAATAATGAGCAAGAAGACAGTAGATAGTGACTGACATTGCATTTAAATTTTTGTAGATTAAAGTTGGCTGGAAAGCATGGAGCCGGAAGGGAGTTCTACAAGTGAGAAGTGTGAGAAAAGAAACTGTTAGCTTAGGATTTATGGTTACATCTATGCAGCTCAACTATAAATTGATGAGTTTTCTACGTCAGTTTAGTGCTGCACTTAAATTCAAAAAGTCTTTGTACCATAGAGAAGAGCTCATCGGAACAATTACCACAAAAGTGTTTATAGAAAACACATAGAAAGGCAACCTTATGGTGGTGGGAAAGTGATTGAAGCCAAGTCACCAGATCAGGACCAATAATATTGCTGATTTTTCTTTGGATTTTATCAAAGTGCTCAAGGTAAATATGTCACAGCAATATTCTAAGTATGGATGAATGGTAGATTTATAGATATGTAATATAGATTCTGGAGAGAAAAATTGTCTTGCACAACACAGTGAATTAACTTTCTTAGCAGCTGACCAAGCAACGGATTCAATATAGTCTTTCCACTTCTTGTTAGCTGAGAACATTAGCCCAAGAATTTTTTTCTTTTAAAGATTTTCTTAGTTGATTCAAATTTTTGACACTTGCTTGTAAAAATGTATAACATTATAAATTTATGAAACCAAAATTGGGAACTATTTTAAGAATGAGTAGACAATTCTCAATGAAATAAGTAAAAATACAGAGAACAAATGTTTAACTTTTTGTAAAGTTTCATCAATACCATGGATTCCAAATGTAGGCAATCTGAATATTTTTGGAAGCATATGAAATTTGGGTTTTCAAGAATGAAAATCATTCCATGGATGAGAACTTAGTTATGTTCAACCTGATTCATTTTAAAAAATCTTTAGATGCTTTCAGATATTTAATTTTTTTAGCTATCAAGGTGGATGGAAATATATATAATATAGGGTGTTGCAGCAAAATCCGACACTTGACAAAAAGAAAACGGAATAGGCAATAACAACAAAAGTTGTGTATGCAGAGACCTGAGAATTTATTTAGCAACAGTTAGTTACATACTACATTATTTTTCAGTGTAACCGCTGGCAGCGGCGAAAACCATCTCAAGGCGGGCATGAAATGAGTCACATGCTTTGGAGACCATGTTCATAGCAGCATTGTGGGCATGCTTGTTGGTCTTGGCCTTGGTCACGCCCCAGAAGAAATAGTCAAGGGGATTGCAGTCGGGTGAGGAGGGTGTCCACAACTCCAGTGACCAGTGGTGAGGAACATTGTTGAGCAGCCACGCTTGGGTTGTCTTGGCCTTGTGTACAGTGAGGGGGACATCATGCCTCCGTTCTTCTTTCAATAAGGCTTGAGAGTCACCGTTGAGATCTAGCAGGAGGTGCTGAGGAGCATGGTGAAGCCATGGATGGACAAGATTACGTCCCTACGTCTTCCAGCAGGACTCCGCTCCTGTACACAAGGCCAAGATGACTCGGGTGTGGCTGCTCAGCAATGTTTCTCACCACTGGCCGCCAGACTTGTGGCTACCCTCCTCACCTGACTACAACCCTCTTGACTATTTCTTCTGGGGCGTGATCGAGGCCAAGACCAACAAGCATGTCCACAATATGGTCGACTCTCTGATGGCTGCCATCATGGAGACATTCAGTGCTATGGACAAAGACATGGTTGCCAAAGTGTGTGACTCATTTCGCGTCCACCTTGAGATGGTCATTGCTGCCAGCGGCGGTTACATTGAAAAATAATGTATGTACCTCCTAACTGTTGCTAATTAAACTGTTGGGTCTCTGCATATACAACTTTTGTTTTTATTGCCCATTTCATTTTCTTTTTGTCAAATGTCTGATTTTGCTGTAACACCCTGTATGTGTGTGTATATGTATGTATATATATATATATATATATATATATATATTTTTTTTTTTTCTCTTTCATGAAATACATCAGTTTGATGTTTTGGCACACATCATCAGTGATGTTTTTAGTTGAGGTTCATTAGAGGTTTTTGGTCTTTCAACATCATACCCCACCTCTCCATGGTGACCCACATGATACTCATCAGATATCAAATTGTGTGTTGTCTGTCAACTACAGTTGTTCTCATCATACACACAACACACTGGAACTTGTCTGGAATTTAATAGTCCAATCATTTATGTGATATCCAAACGCGAAAAAAGGCTATGAAAGTAAATCCAGGCAGAAAACCTTGAGTGGAGTCCTGAAAGTGGTTGGCTGTCAACACTGACAACTTTCTGGCAACTCCTACACCCAAGCTGTCTCCAAATGGAATGCCCTCTATTCCTTTGGTTTTTGTTGATATATCTGAGAGGAGAGGGGCATGTTGTCCATCAGTGCCCAATCTTTATATACCATTGCCCAGGCATGTGCCCTGGACAGCTCATGCCATTCTCACCACCATAGGACTGAATTTTGACCAAAGAAGGTGCTATCTTTTATCTCACAAGATAAACAGATGCCTACTATATTATTATTTCTTTCAATGTTTTCCAGTTACTGTCTTCTGTATTAGTATTTGTTTTTGTACAACT